CAACAAATTGAGCCGAGCGGGCTCTCGAGCAGAAACTTGAGGCTCGGCTAGAGTAAAATGAGCGAGCTTTTTTTGGGGTTCGAGCCGAACTAAGCTTTTGCTTGGCAAAAAAAATTAGACTCGACCTGTGCTTTTGGCTCGGGTCTTTTCGAGTTGAGCCGGGTAGGCTCGATTTTTTTTTTTATTTTGGAATTTTTTTTAAAAAAAGTTAAAAAAGGTAGTCAAGCGCTTTTTTTTTTTTTTTTTTTAAGGCAGCCTTTGCTGCCTATTAGGCAGCAGCACATTGGTAGCGTGTTGTTGCATTTAATTTAATTTTTTTTAAATATAGGCCTGTGAGCCCGAGCGAACGAGCCACACAAGTCGGCTCGGACTTTGCTTGATACCCCAAAACAAGGCTAGGGCTTTTTCCAGGCCGAGCCACGGGCTGCCTGAGTCGACGAGCCCGATTGCCATCCCTAGATTTGGATGGTTATACAACTTGTTTTCTCAAAAAGGCTCGGGGAATTGTTGGAGTTTAAGAGGGTTATCAAAGATTTTTTCAACTCTTCTTCTCTTCTTAAACAAGCAAATCATATGGTGATTGCCTTGGTTCCTGAGACAGATCACTCATCTTCCGTCGGAGACTATAGGCCGATTGTATGTTGTAATGTATTTTACAAGTGATTACAAAGATTATTGCTTTTAGACTGGAATCTATACATGGATCCATTGTGGATCAAGCACAAGAGGCATTTGTGGAGGGAAGAAGCATGATGGAGAACATTCACCTTGTGCAAGAGCTTTTGAGTCAATACAATCGAAAAAGAATTGCCCCAAGATACCTTCTTAATTTTGATTTAAGGCAAGCATATGATTCGTTGAATTGAGACTTTCTCAAAAAGTGTGCCCGAAGGTTTATATTTTTCAACTAAGTTTACTGGTTGGATTATGGAATGCATTTCTACTCCATTGCACTCAATGGTAGTCTACATGGCTTCTTCAAAGGTAGAAAAGGGCTTAGCAAAGGTGATCCATTATCTCCATTCTTGTTTGTTCTTTGCCTTCAATACTTTTCGAGAACGTTGAGAGGTGATACTGAAAATAGTGATTTTAACTATCACTCAAAATGTGGCCCGTTAAAGATCCCACACCTAGCATTCGTCGATGATGTGATGCTCTTTGCTAGGGGTGATTTTATTGCAGTTAGGATTTTGATGAATTGTCTTTCTAAGTTTGGAGATGTACCGAGACTTAGAATGAATGCTAGCAAATCTAGCTTCTATACGAGGGGTACTAATGGGTAAGAATTAGAGGATGTTGTTGCATTAAATGACATTCCTAAAGGTTCCATGCCGTTTCAGTATTTGGGTATCCCACTTAGACAAGGTCCTCACTATCTTATGCAAGTAGGACGGAACTTGTTAGAGCCGTGCTACAAGGTGTGGAATATTTTTGGCTCTCTATATCCCATTCCATCAACGATAGCAGTAAGGATTGTTAAGCCTTGCTGAAATTTTCTTTGGGGTGCTAAAAAATCGATGGTTACATTGAGTACCATTTGCTTACCGAAGATGGAGGGAGGTTTTGATTTAGAGATATCAAAAGTTGGAATTCAGCTCTTCTAGCTGAAAACCTTTGAAATATTCGTGCTAAGAAATAGACGGTATAGATTAAATGGGTTAACCAAATCTACCTTCAAGGGGAGGATATTTTGGGGTTTAAGGTAAAGAAAAGTGATTCTCCATTGCTCAAAAGAATGTTTGAAATTGGGGACACTGTTGCTGGGAATGACCGAAATGGCCAAGCTGCTGGGAACATGCTGTCAAACTGGAATAATGCTGGAAAGTATTGTGTCCAGGCTGCCTTTGAGTACTTTCGGCCAAAGAGAGAGAAGAGAGGCTGGACAAGGGAGGTTTGGAGATCTTTTATTACTCCAGAACATGCTTTTATATTATTGTTGGGTGTCCGGTCGAAGCCACTCACTAAAGATAGGTTGCCGCATCTTAACATCAACAAGAATTGTATTTTATGTGGGTCACATTTGGAAACTGGACAGCATTTATTTTTTCAATGCTCATTCACCTCTAGCATATGGATAAAGATTAAATCTTGGATGGGGATTAGAAGATCAATCTACAATTTCGAGTGCTTTGAAGTGGATAAAAAAAGAGGCTTGATGGGCATCTTGGCAAAGTAAATCTAAAAGAATTGCATTTGCTAGTACCCCTTATCATATTTGGATAGCATGTAATAGAAAGTTATCTTGAGAACTTAGCCCACAAGTAGATAGCATTGTAAGATACATTAAAAAATACAAGGTTATGTTTGCTTTGTACCCATAAGTTTTGATCATTTTGAGTCTTTAGTTTTGGGACTATACTTTCAATTGCTTGTACATCTTCCCTTTTGTTAGCCTGGATGTGCTCAAGTAATTGTATTTCACTTATTTCTTGTTTGCTTATGTATACCCGGTATACTTATACATGAGTTTTGATCAATAGTAATTTACATTTATCGATAAAAATAAAAAGTGTCTTCTCATCCGCTATTTTTTTGGTTACTCTTCAAATTCAATTATTGACAGTAAAATTGAACAGCATATTTTAATTCCTACTTATTTAAATTAATTGCTCGACCGTACTTCCTTGAACAAGCAGGCTATAAGATGATCCAATTATTGTAAGTAACTCACCATAGACATGCAGTCAAATGGAGCCCCTGCACCCCCTCGGGGCACTTCTTTACTGGCAAAGGACGGGTTCTTTCAAAACTAGCAGATCAGAGGTCGTTGGTTCAATTCTTGGGGCTCTTGGAAGGCAAGGCACATATTGGAAGGCAGGAGTGTCTTGAAAGGCAATGCGCAACATGGGTTGGCTCACTAAGCACTTTGGCAGTCCAGTTGGAGAGGTGCTCGGACCTTGGTCAGTTGGAGGCACATCCTACGGTTTAACTGGTCTGTGTGAAGAGGGGTCGGATCATAGACCCAAGAAATAATCGTCAAAGACGGGCACCTTGATAAAGAAAAAATGGAGCCCCTGCACAATGAGGGACCCTGTAAAACATTTGTGAGTAATGTCTATGACATTACTCAAATTTCAATGGTCAGGTGTCCTAGCCAGGATAGCCCTACTACAAGAAAATGAAATATGTCACCTTCAATTTTCTTATTTTATTTTATTTTATTATTATCTTTTTGGGTAAATGTGTGCCTTCTGTTGAACAAATTAATACGAGCACTTCAACTTATTCTATAGATATAATTTATATGGAATTTAGAAAATTTAATCCGTGAGTTGTCACTGGAGAGAAATTATTAAAAAAGAAAAAAAAAAAAAGGCTCTTTCAGCCTTCCAATGGGAAAACAAGGAAAAGGTAATTGATTACAAAATTAATGGAGACGGATTATTCAATTAATATAGGGTAGGGAATAAATCTTCATATAGTTTATATATTTTCTATAGTATCTAATTAATCTAGATGTAAATTAATTTTTCGAGTTTATGTAAACTTGTTTATTTTAAAAGATAATTCAATTAATCTAGGATCTAAATTCATCCTTCAAGTTCACGTATTAACAAATTTGTGCAATTAAATAATGTATTAAATTTAAGTGGCGATGATATCGTGATTTGTAATTTTAATCTTTCAATTAGATACCGCATTTATAAATATTTTTTATTATATATATAAATCAAAAATTTTGTTCTCTTTCTTTACCGACATCGTATCATTGATAATTAAAGTAAAACCCTGATTTGTTGTCAAAGTTAAGAGGCCAAGTAAACGGACAAATTAAAAACAAGAATTGATTCTCCTAGACATGGGACAAAGCATCATTTTTTATTTTTCTAAAAAAAAAAAAAATTATATATGCAAAAATACTATTTTTTATATCAACCCAAAATCTAAAAAAGTAATGCCCTATTTGATTTGCATTTCAATTTTAGTTTTGAGCATCGAATTCATTTTTAAACGGTTGGCTTTAAGATTGTAGAAAGAATAAAGTTAAGTGTACATCATTGATTGACAGTCATGCGTGGTCAAAATCTAAACTTGAAATGTAAAAAATAGTTTTAAAATGGATGAATATGATGATGTCAAATAGAATGTTGTCAATCAATATTATCCACCATGATTGTACATATAACATGATTCTTGTAGAAAATGTGTTTGGGACAAAATTGTTATTGAAATCGCATATGAGGGGTTACCTATCTTTCGAAGACGATGGATTCTTTGGGTGGGTTGAATTTGTCATTGAAAGGAGAAATTAGATTACTTTTATTTCTCGTATTTTGAGTTTTATATTATAAATTTAATCTCTATCTCTCTCTTTTCTTTTTCATTTTTTTAATAAATATCAAACCAAACGAGTTTTGAATATTTTACAAAATTAAAATACATTTTTATAACAGTGGTAAAAGAATAAAAAATTGACTTTGACTACTATTTTTAAAAGTACTATAAATTAATGAATAATGCTAATTATGTACGAAGAGGTTTCGAAATGGTTTACATATAGATGTGGTGTTAAAAAGTGGATAATATATATATATTATTATTTTTTTAATTTCATTGAGAAATTGTCACCAAATTAAAATATATATATATATATATATATATATATATATTTCATTGAAGAAATTGTCACCAAATTAAAATATGAAAAATGCTACTTAATCAGGTGCAAAATCAGGCTCAAAAATAGGAAGCCGAGGTGGCAACACCTCGGCCCTTAGATCTGAAAAAAAAATAAAGTACGTGAAATCGAGGGTTGAGGTGGCACCTCAACCCCTGTATTTGAACCTATCACCTCAACTCTTGTTTTTGAGCCTGTTATAGCGAGGCTGTTAAAATATTATACAAATCATGATGCACATGGTAATTTGATTGGATAAATTTGTTTTATTTTGATTGGATAAATTTGTTTTATTGTATCACCGTTCATACACGCGCATGTGTAGAGCGTGATACTTATTAAAGCAAAATGCCAAAAAATAAAGTAAAAAATCAGGCTAGGGTTTCTTTGGACCCCGTCCCCTCTCTAAATGAAATCTATACACATTTTACGTGTAACTTTTTGTATATATTTGGATCGATTAAAGCCGGACGGAATTGGTGTGAATTGACTGCCATGAATGTTAATAAAACGGTATAAGAGGATCGGATTTTAAAGGTAGACACATATATTTGTGAACCGAATCGAACGAAATCAAATCAGTTGTATTTGTCAATATGGGAGGATCGAAGAAATCAAAAAGTGTTAATTGGGCTGCAGATGTTAATCTTTGTCAGGTAAATCCTCCAAAGGAATTTCTTCGTTTTGTTTAATGATTTTTTAAATCCAATTTCATTATTGAAACTATAGAAATGGAAAGATGGAGTTTTTAAATTGAGATAAATTAGTTTATGAATTAAAATTAAAGGGAAAAATGTTGGTATTTGATGGATGAAATTGAAAGGCGTGTATTTCTTGACATTGCATGTTAATTCTTTTATTTAAATATTGCTTGATGCAAGTAATAATCACTTGTTTAGAATAAATTTTAAGATTGATAGGAATCAGAAAGTAAAGAAATTAATAATAAAGAGAGAGAAAGAAATAAGGAATGTAATTCCTTCCTTTATGGAAGTTTAGTGTTAATATAAGCAGTGAACTTTGTAAGATGAGTTTAAGCTGAATCAAAAAAATCAGTGACCAAGAATGATTTATTCATTTATATTTCTTTTTATTGAATCTCAGTATTGTATTCTGATGTTTGTATTAAACATTGCATAGCTGATGAATATAAGAAACAGACTAGTTAGCAACGTTACAACTTGCAATTATTGTCATGTGTTATGGAACCGATTATTGGATCATATATTTTCTGAGGTTGCATGACTGATGGTGATCTCAAAATATAAGGATTGAGATTGAACATAAAACCGCATGGAAGCTGTGAAGATTGTGGTCTCCTTTCTAGTTTGAGGACTCGAAGGTAACATAAACTCAAGAGAAATGGAAAGTGAATGACTAGAAGATTGTTGTTTTTAATGGTGGAACTGACAATGTATCAACATTGGTGGACCAGGAGGTTCATCAGATATAAACAAACCAATATTTGTGTTAGGACTATGGTCAGAGGATACCACTAAGTTTCAGCAATATGTAAAATGATTGGTTTAGTTTTTGTCTGTATATATGAGTGTTGTTAAATCATGAATGATCCTGAGATGTCTTGTTACATTTGACAAGTATCTGTTGTTAGATAGAAGCAAAACTGTTGACTCAATTTTTCTCTGTATGAAAGCAGAGAAAAAGTCGAAGAAATGAGGGAGATAAGATTGACATCATCAGTGAAACAATAAAAGATATTCATTTGGACCGATGTCATTGATTGAGGAAACTATTTATGATTTATTGATTTATGAGAAGATATGACCCAGACCACTCTAAAAACATGAGAGTAGCCAACCGAGGATTTGGTTTGAAAAAGAAGGCGAGGGACCATAGTTCCAACTAACATTTATTTTTTCTTCTCGAATAGATTGGAGCACCATTTTGAAAAAATGATGAACCCTTTAATAAAGTTGATAATTATGAGTGTTACGACGAATTTGATTGGACGGTTCAATGGCAAAAAGAAGTGGAAGGATCCAAACAAAATCGTTGAAATGGAAGAAATCCGAGTAAATGGAAAGGAAAAAACACAGGATGAATTCCACTTTCAATTAATAGAGGGGGCATATATGATACTTGGGCTCCAGGAGAGGGAGATGTAAGAAAAATTACCAACTTGACCTATCCAGTTGGTTACTTTCTTATTCCAAATATAAAAAAAAAGATCTCTATTTTCTGAATACTATGGCTGCACTTGGGAGGTTCGCACGATAGGCTATTAGCTCGTGGTAGAGCGTGCCCCTGATAATTGCGTAACTTCCTATGCTATACTATTCAAGTCTCGATGAGTACGTGCTCAAAGGTGTAAAATAGTTATTTGGGAACTGTTTCAAGTAAATGTGCATTCCCCTCTTTTTTTGGACAGAATAAAAAAATCCATTCGGGAATTAAATCAAATAAGCCTTTTTAACTTGGTGGTAGAATAGCCATGATAAGGCATTTTTTGTCTGCTTTTCCAAAGAGAGTTAACGTTAACCAGTTGCTTAAGTAACAGAAAGCAGTGCCAGTGCTATTTTTAGATTTATTTGGAGTGGAAATTAAATAGGTTTATTGATGATGCTTTGATTGGTACTTCAGCCAGTTAGTCAGTTGGTTTACGTCCAGTTGCGGATCCTTCAGTATACGCAATGCTAGTTCACGTCAATCAACTGAGAGAGTATTCATCTAATTGACATAAATCATATGTCTTGTCAATGATATTTGTTTGACTTCCAAAATTTAGAAAAGGGTCATTTACACTTATTTTGATGTTGAATAAGCACATGCCCCTTGAAATCATTCTTAGTGCTTAGAGGTAACCTTTCCCTGGTTACATCCTTCATGTCTCCATTTTATTGGCCTTTTGCAGTATCAGATAATTGTTGCATGAAAATTTGGTCATTGCTTATCCTGGAATTTGGGCTGAAAAGATCTGATGCACACAAGAAAACATCAATCACTTACCTCTCCTTTTAATCTTCTGAATTGGCTAAACTGTAAAACAATAGACGGATTCTTTTGAGGTCTAAGATAGAAATGAGTATATTATGCATTTTATCTATGCCAATTTAAACTGTGTTAACAACTTCATATACAACTGCTAATTCTTCTCTAGTTGTGGCTGTGTGGATTAGAAGTTAAATCCATGTTGATGATTTTTGGCATTTAACCAAAATTCTCAGATCATAGGAATGTTTTAATTTGAGAATTCTCCCTGCGTGGTATAATATCGTTTGGTGAAGTTTCTCGAGGTTGACAAGGGCTTAGTTATTTTAAACAACTTAAGGCTAACTTGACATGGTGAGCAGCCATGGTGGCTGTTGTATATCCTAGTGTACAATTTATAGGAGGGCGATACTTTCATCAAATATTGATTCCTCATTTAACTTCTCTCATTTTATTTCAATTTACCCTCTATACGTTCTGTTCGGATACATTGTTGATTGAATCGTAAATGTTGATGAATATTAGATGTGTAGAAGGCATGATTGAGAAGTTTAGATGTAAGATCAAAATGAGGGAAATAGTGTAGTTTGTTGATTTAAAGTATCTCGATGTTTTATAACCTCCTTGTGGTGGTTATTAGAATTTTTAACACTGATAAGGCCTTGGACATGTCTTAGGCATGTCTGAAAAGTTGTATGGTGATAATCAGCCACAGGATGAAGTTTATTTTTTAAACTAAAGTATCTCAATCTCTTGTGCTCTTCTTAATATTGAAGATCAGTATGTGTTCCCGACATTCGGTATGGTGGGAGATTTGAAATGAATGAAAGGTACAATGAGTCCGTTGAAGAAGAGAAATTCAATGGGCATATTGAAATTTCTTGATTTCTGATGCCCTTTACTTTTTCTGTTCATGCATCAGTTTAAGTGTGAATATATTTTTCCTTCCGAGCAAGGCTTCAATTTCACATCCCTTGTCTCAGAAACTGTCGTTAAATAAAGTGTAGTCATATTGATGTATAACATGAAAAACAAATATGTATAAAGAAGTGAGAGAGAAAAATGTAGCGAGGAAATTCAATAACACTGGATATATAAAATCAATTGTCTATATTATTCAGAAATACATTGTTTTATTTATACTTAAAAGTTCAAGAAATTGCCAATGATGGAAACCAACTTTTCCGGTTGGAGCACTTGGGTCACAAATCAAAATTTCTTTTTATTTAGATCAGTTCATTTTTGGTGCAAATTGTTTCCAACTGGATGAACTACGTTTGCTTTTCTGTTAAACTGTCACATAGAGAGTCCCAGGATTCATGAATCGAGGAAGAGGAAATCCCTGATTTTTACAAAAAAGGGGTGGAGGGGAGGGGGAAACTCTTTGGGTGGAGATGAATAATGGAGGAGTTTGATGGCAGCACGTCTCAAATTGATGTTGACAATTCTTTTGTCCCTTTCTTTTTCATTTTTCAAGTGTTTTTCAAGAAATATGAAGGATTGACTAAAGTAACCATGCCATAGGTGGTCATGTGCAGGGTATGTGACATTTTACATGAATTCTGGTGATCGGCTTGCACATATAATGGAAGTTTGGGGATCTGAATGCCAAGAAATTTTGATTGTGACCCAAGTGCTCTACGTGGCAAAGTTTGGTTACAGTTGCTGTAAATTTTAACTAAAATTCCTAACAAAAATAGATAGTTTCCTAAATAAAAATGGAAGTGTCTATGATGAGCCAAGTGATTGGGCTTGAAGTTTTTTACATGTTCGAGATGTTGCTTAAGAGAAATACACACAATGACATAACCTCTTTCAGTTCTCTATACCAATGATGAGCATGAAGAAGCTTATAATTTTCATTACTCGGAGCAGTTTTTTGTCACTCAGAATGTAAATGGTTAGAAAAGGCTTTGAATAAAGCTGCATACACTAATCACTAGGCAAAGGCACGAGGTCAATAGTTTAGCAATGAGAAAAGTCATGGATACCAAATTGCTGTAAGCAAACTCAAGTGTAGTTAAAACAAATTCTATTACCAAGCTTTTTACCGAGTTCCCAAGATTACTTTTAAGAGTTTTGAGTGTGGAAAACATATGGATATATTTGTGTGGTTCCAAATATTTTTCCAAAAATAACTGGCACCTGACATTTCTATCAAATACAATGGTAGAAGGCTACCCATGCCAGTAGCAATTTCCTGGAAAACAATTAGCCATGTGGAAGGCTGTCAACTTCTGGAACAGAGAATAAAATGTCATTTTGGGGAGAATTGTAACTTCTAACAGCTATGGATAATATTAGGGTAAAATTCATGCTAATGTCGCGTCATTTAAAGGGTACGTGGAACTATGATTGGAGCATATAACACAATATTTTATTAGCCTTACTTTCAAGTACAATATTGAAACTTGATTCTGGCAACATCCCATTTCGGATAAACCTAATAGAATTTGTCCACCAAGGCTAGGTCTTCTCCCTACCAAATATTGCGCTAAGCTAAGAGTTCTTCAAGTGGAGGATGAGAGATACACTCTCTAATCCTTCTGAAAAGACAATCGTCCAAAAAAGTATGTGCAAACAACTAATTTATGAAAACGAACAATATTTTCGTACCAGTCGGCCTCGTTGTTTACACATTCTGGGGTGGAAAGAGAGGACAAGACTTTACTTTTCTTAGCCCATTTTTACTTTGTGCATTGTTCTTCCTCCTGCTACTGGCATTTTCTCTTATTCAAGGTATCCCTCTTCCCTTGTCCTGGTCGTATCCCAAAAGGATAAGTAATGACTCCTCTTAGTCATCCTGAGTCTGGATGGCTCTTCCCATTCATGCCCTGGTTGAATCCTAATTTTATAGTATTTATTATGCAAATCTCTTTTGAAGAACTACATTGAACCAAATAGCTCATCCAACGTATACTCGAAGCTTGGGAAAAAACCTATAGTATGCTCAGATTTTGTTGATGGCTTTGGAAAACCACATTCCTCTCCTTTTGGAAAACCTATCGTATTGCTTTGATGCCATCTGCTATAATGAATGAGGTCTTCCATATACATAATGGGAACCTCGGCTGTAACATTGCTTTTGGGAGGGGTTTGCGGGACTAGGAGTTAGATGATTATGTGATGCTTGTGACCTCTTTGTATGAGGAGCACATCAAGGTATGAGGGGGTGATTGTAGCAGGTGGAGGTTGGCACAGGATGATAGTTTCTCAGTTTGTACTTATTTTAGGTTCCTTATTGGGACCTGTGGAGAGTACATTTCCCTGGAAGATGGTACGGTAATATAAACTGTGTCCTTGGGTGACATTTTTACGATGGACGGTCGTGAAAGGACAGGTTCTACTGGTGGATAACCTTTGAATAAGTGGTTTTTATGTTACGGAGTGATGTCATATGTGTAAGAGGAATGGAGAGACGATTGACCACTTGTTTCTTCATTATGACGGTGCTCGTTTCCTCTGGAATGATATTCTGGCCTCTCAACACATGGATTTGATTTTTCCGCGGTGTATGGTGAATGTATTGAAAGCATGGAGGATAAAATTTTGTAATAAGGATAGCAAGCTTGTTTGGGACCTTATTCTAGAATACATCATCTGGTGTTTGTGGAGGCAGAGAAACAACCATTGTTTTGATGATCTATCAAGGATAACAGAGCATATTAAAAAACTATTTTATTTCACATTATATACTTGGTTTAATGCTGTGGCTACTACTCGTATAGACAGGTTAAGAACATTTAGGGAACTGCCAGATAATATGTTTATGTAGCATGCATGCTTCCTGTTTTCCCAGTTTATTCTGTTCTTTTCATTGGAGGAGAAATTGCTTCCTTGTCCTCGTATGGGTTAAGACTGGATTTGTGGAACCATTGAGTTATATTTGTGATTGATTGCTCCAGTTTGTTTTGTATGGCTAATTTGATGAGGACATATAGAGTATTCTTGAACATCTTCTAGCTATGTTGCTGTGGCCTGAACGTGGTGGTGGGGCTGGATAAATGTGCTTGAGCCTGCACCATAGGTCAAAAGACCCAAAAAATATTTAACATAAAAAGGTACTTTCTGATTAATAATTTATTTTAAGGGCTTGTTAAATTTCTATTTTCCCCAAAATACATTTTTCTGTCTTTTTTTGTTCAACCACACATTCTTTTTTCTTATTTTTTAACCACATATTCTCCATCAATCTACTATTCAAAAATACATTTTTTCAATTTAATGGGGCTCAAACAAGTCCTGAATATGGCTAGCAGTTTTCATCTTGTTTTAGTTAGTTTGTTTTCCTTTCCGTTATGCCTAGAATTTTCATCTCTATTTATTGTTGTTCTAGTATCTTGTAGAGTGTATCCACCATCATGCACTTCATGGTTAATTATTACTGGATAATATACCTTGATTTTAATAGACAATCTGTGATTGACTTAATTAAGTTAATTATTAGAGAGAGAGCCTATTATCATTCGATAGACTAATAACATTCCTTAATTAGGTAAGACTGTTTTTGTTGGAAGAATCTCCTTCACAAGTTGGAGTTGAAACTCAAGACCACCTCCAGGCAAAGACTTTATGGTCAGTTGAGAAAGGTGGTATCTCGTCTGATGACAATTTGCCACCTGGCTTTGAAGCACTCCAGCCTGGAAATCATTGGAGAAATAAGTTGTCCCAACTACCTCTTATCAAATGGAGATGCCCTCCCAGAGTGAGTCTATTTGTTATTGTTGTGTTTGTAAAGATAAATATGCTGAAACACAAAAGAAGATATAATTCAAGGACTTGAGATGTGAGGGGAAAGGGGTGGAGTTTCATTAAACAGACGGACTAAATTCGTCACTTTGCTGATACGGTGTACTTGGACTTGACTTCCTTATGAATTGGTGACTTTCCATTTAAATGACCCTCACTAAAGACATCTCTGCAACTTCCTTATTTATTTATTATTATTACCCCCCCCCCCCCCCCCCCCCCCCCCCCTCCTTCTT